GCCTCGTTAGTTAACTGGGGGGTGGAATAATGGACAAGATAGAGCTATTTCCCCCACCCCCCGTTACAGTCTAGGGGGGTGATATCTCCCCCTAGGGGATGTCTAGGGGGTGATATCTCCCCCTAGGGGATGTCTAGGGGGGTGATATCTCCCCCTAGGGGATGTCTAGGGGGGTGATATTTCTCCCTAGGAAATGCCTAGGGGTAATATCTCCCGCTCCCCCCCCCCTCCACCATACGAGGTTATCTTACAACGATAACAACCTTGGAGCGGCAAAATTGCCAAGGTTGTAGATTGTTTAGTAAATACAGTCTTAAGTGGCCATGATAAGAGACGCGCACAGACCTCTTAAGTGAATACAGGTCGTAAGTGAATACTGGAGGTCGTATCACTACACACAACCTCGTAAGTGGCTCTGGTTATCTTGATATGATTTCGGGGCTCAGCGTGCCCGCGGCCCGATCCTCGACCCAGGAAGTAGCAGCAGCCCATAGCAGCTGTCTTAACTCCCAGGCATACCTAGTGACTGCTAGGTGAACAAGGGGCATCAGGGTGAAATAAACTCTAGCCCCCCCATTTGTGTCCCCCCGGGATCGAACCCGGAACCCCAGGCCTACGAACCCCGAGCGCTGTCCACTCAGCCGTCATAAGAACAACAGGTGAAGTCTGCTAACGAAATCTTAGATTTTTCATAGAGGTTCGAGAGCTTAACTACTACAGGGCCTTTCTAAAAGGGCCTAGACAACTCTCTCTTGACTTGGCCTAACCACAAACTTGCGCTGACCCCAGAGGCAGCCGCATATAGTTCACGTCGGTTATACGGTGCATTGGTTCTATCAAGTCGCATTTCTTAACCGACTGCCCGCATCGCGTCAACAAAGTCGACGCGTTAGGCGGGAGGACTGATTGTGTCTGGTAGTTGAAAACCGGTTGCAGGGGGGGGGAAGGGGGTGTGTGGGGGGGTAGAAAGGCTTGTGGGGTACACCGGTTATTGATCAAGCCGTATAAACGGGCCACTTTCACCTTCGTGGTATATCTGGCCCTCTGGGCTAAACGTCGACTTGGGATCCGGTCCCCTGGGCATCGATTTCCCCCCCCCCCCACCTCCCACTCTTTGAGGCTTCCCACTGGGTATTAAGCCCTGTACCCAGACCCATGCCCCATACCCATCCTCAGGGCCATACCCAAGCCCTGTACCCATACCCATGCCCCATACCCAACCTCAGGGCCATACCCAAGCCCTGTACCCATACCCATGCCCCATACCCAACCTCAGGGCCATACCCAAGCCCTGTACCCATACCCCATACCCATCCTCAGGGCCATACCCAAGCCCTGTACCCATACCCAAGCCCTGTACCCATACCCCATACCCATCCTCAGGGCCATACCCAAGCCCTGTACCCATACCCCATACCCATCCTCAGGCCCATACCCAGGCCCCCATACCCACCTCAGGGCCATACCCAAGCCCTGTACCCATACCCCATACCCATCCTCAGGGCCATACCCAAGCCCTGTACCCATACCCCATACCCATCCTCAGGCCCATACCCAGGCCCCCATACCCAACCTCAGGGCCATACCCAACCTCAGGGCCATACCCAACCTCAGAGCCATACCCAACCTCAGGCCCATACCCAACCTCAGGCCCATACCCAACCTCAGGCCCATACCCAACCTCAGGCCCATACCCACCTCAGGCCCATACCCAACCTCAGGCCCTACCCAACCTCAGGCCCTACCCACCTCAGGCCCATACCCAACCTCAGGCCCATACCCAACCTCAGGCCCATACCCAACCTCAGGCCCATACCCAACCTCAGGCCCATACCCAACCTCAGGCCCATACCCAACCTCAGGCCCATACCCAACCTCAGGCCCATACCCAACCTGAAGCCCGTAAGACTAGTCGGAAAATGGAATGACCTAAAAACGAGCATTGTAAAACAGGTTACCTTGCGATCATTTCGGGGCATAGCGTCCCCGCGGCCCGGTCCTCGACCAGGCCGCCTCCTGGTTACTGGACTGGTCGAAGAGGCTGTTTGTATGAACCACAGCCTGGTTGATCAGGGGGCAAACTCCATTCATAACGTTAAAAAAACAGTAGATACGGAAACAGGTCAGAAATCATTAAGAACATAAGAACAAAGGCAACTGCAGAAGGCCTATTGGCCCATACGAGGCAGCTCCTATCTATAACCCCCCAATCCCACTCATATACATGTCCAACCCGCGCTTGAAACAATCGAGGGACCCCACCTCCAGCAAGTTACGCGGCAATTGGTTCATTGCTTTAGCCAAACCGGCGGATGGAAGTCGGGGTCCCAAGAGCTAATGTTCGACCCTAGAGGCACAAATATGTGAGTAGACACGCGCACTCGGGCACTGAACACCTGACTGTGTGTATATATGAGCCCACACATGTGGCTAGGGCGGGCTATTCATGCCCGTGCCACCTCTTGGGTGGCTTAATCTTTATCAATCAATCTGGCTAGG